AAGCAAATGGACACTAACGGATGCTAACCTTGTGGCTTATTCTGCCCTTTACTGCTGCTTGATGCTCCAAAAAGCTTCGCTTTGTTATTTGCAACATTAATTAGACTGTTTGCCTCTTCGGCACCTGCCACTTACCAAACTGATTGCATGAAACTCACAGCAAACAACAAGTTTGGCATCGAGCTTGTTTCGACTTCAACAAAGCGGCTTGCTGCTCACAAATCCAGCGAACCCACCTCGATTTCATATATAGATACATATATCGACCATCGTTTGGAGAAAAGCAACTTCTTGTCTACCCTGTTCAACTGTTCCGATGCTGTTCCTTCCCCCTGGTCAGCAAAAGTAAAAACAAGGCCGTCTGGATGAACGCCTGGATTTCGGGAGCCAAAGTTGGTATAGTTCCCAAGCTACAAGAGGTTAGTTTCAATCCCCCCCTCCTTCCTCAGCTACAGAATTTCGTCAATACTGTCCACATTTAAAAAACTGCATAAACCAAATAATATAAATAAATAAATAAATATAAATTCCAAAATATACATTTTCTGCGTATTCACACAAGACATCTTGGACTAAAATTTGGTTCTAGGTCTTATAGTCTCCGAGATATAGGCGATTATACGAATGGAAAATCGGGAAAACTCCCATAGGGGGAAAGGGGGGGGGGGGGGGAATCATAAAAATAAAACAAGTAAAAAAGCTAAAGTCGGGTGTCCCGACTTTGAAATACTCTGTACATATTTTTACAATATTTATAGAAAATGAAAAAATTAAGAAAATAAAAAAAAATTTGATCGATTTTACCTCTCTCGGTATTCGAACTCACGTAAAGGGTGTATAATTGCACATTTACATAGCAATTGCGCCTGTGTGAGTGTATGTATGCCTATGCGCATCTATTCGTGTCTGTGTAAGCATTTTCGCAGTCAACCAAACAGCAACATCAACAACAGCCCCGGGCAGCGCTTGAGCAGCGCTGCAGCAGCAAATATATTTATGGCTATAACTTTTTGTTAAATCGGTCTATCATAGTGAAACTTGGCATACGGACACATAATAACTAACTGGGGATATTTGCAAAATTTTAGTTTGAAATTCCAAGAATTACGGGAGTTACGATTTGCGGGGTAGAGGGGGGAGGGAGGGAAATTCCAAAATATACATTTTCTGCGTATTCACGTACGGCATCTGGCTAAAATTTGGTGTTCCTAAGTCTTATAGTCTCCGAGATAAAGGCGATTATACAAATGGAAAATCGGGAAAACCCCCATAGGGGGGAAGTGGGGGGGAAAATCAAAAAAATAAAACAAACTCGTATAGAATATACACATAACGCATCTTTGTGCAAAATTCGGTGTCTCTATCTCTTATAGTCTCTGAGATCCAGGTGTTCATACGGACGGACAGACGGACAGACTGACAGACGGACAGACAGACAGACAGGGCTAGATCGACTCGTCTCGTCATGCTGATCAAGAATATATATACTTTGTGGGGTCTGCCACGCCTCCTTCTGCATGTTACATTTTTCAGCTCCCGCAAACCTAATATACTTCTGTACATTTCATGTACAGAGTATAACAACTCTTATAGAATACACACATAAGGCATCTTTGTGCAAAATTTTGTGTCTCTATCTCTTATAGTCTCTGAGATCCAGGTGTTCATACGGACGGACAGACGGACAGACAGACAGACAGGGCTATATCGACTCGTCTCGTCATGCTGATCAAGAATATATATACTTTGTGGGGTCTGCCACACCTCCTTCTGTCTGTTACTTTTTCCAGCTCCCGCAAACCTACAATACTTCTGTACATTTCATGTACAGAGTATAATCACTAGTTGCGGAAGAAATGAATGAAATTACATTAATTTCCTCCGTATTCAAATAAGGCATCTGGGAATAATTTTGTGTTGATGATTTGATGTCTCTAGCTCTTATCGGTGCGAAAATGAGCTTCGATTTATCGCATTTTGACCGAACATTTGGGCTTACGAAAGGTGTGTGCACGGTTTGTTCCGCACAAATTGACTGACGACCAAAAATTGTCTCATCGATCGACGCTTGTGACCAATTATTTGACCAAAAATCACATTTTAACCATTAACCACTCACCGTATTCACCTGATATGGCACCGTGCGACTTCTACCTTTTCGGAAAAATGCATTTGCCAATGAAAGGAAAGCGTTATGCAGACGTAGAGGCCATTCAAAAGGCTTGCACCGGCATACTGGCGACCATACCGGCCAACGAGCTAAAACACTCGTTCGACATGCTTTTGGATCGTGCAAAAAGCTGTATTGAAGCAGAAGGAGACTATTTTGAATAAAAAAAATTGATTTTGCCAAAAAACCCATTTGTTCTTTTTTTTAAAAAAGAGTCCTTTTTACTTTGGAACACACCTTGTATATATGTATATACTTAGTAGGGTCTGGCACGCCATCTTTTGCCTGTTACATTTTTCACCTCCCGCAAACCCAATATACTCTTACACATTTCATATACAGAGTATACAAAGAAATGGTGCAACCAGCTTCTTGCTATCGTTGTTGTTGGTGCCTTGCTCTGTTGTCATCTTTTGACGATATCATTGTTTTTGTCTACTACTAAAACGACGACAACAACAACATCGATGGCAGCAACAACTGGACAGCAAAGCGGCAGTTGCAAATATCTGGAATCAAATGGTGATGGTTGCTGCTGTTGTTGTTGTTTAAAAGTATTTGGCCCAAATGAATCGTAACACACACTTTTTGTTTGTATTTTCGAATAAAAAAAGACAATAAACAAAAAAACAGCAGCAACAAAAGATCTAAACACTGCGCCAGTTAATAAACCACAATACTTGTCTTAGCCATTTGACATATTCACATCGCATGCAAAGTAACCCCGCACTCACTCCCTCGGCCCTGTCACTATCCTCCCACCATGTTGTTGCTGTTCATCCCTCTGCGTCCCCTACAAGGTACCACTGCCGGCTCGTGGCCCCCTTTTTGACAAGCTGCTGCTCTGCATTTGCACTGTGCAACTGTAGAAAATTAATGTCAACATTGTCCATCGACCCACCTGTACCTCATGCATACTACAAGCATATACATACTTACTCTACTATACGTATGTACATGTATGTAAGTGGGGGGCAGTGTTTGAGCCATGAACGGCAACTGCAACGGCTGGCTGCAAGATTGAGTGCCTCAATTCGATGCCACATTGCGAGCTAGTTGCATAACCTGTATTAGTTGTTATTACCGTTTTAGCAGCGGCCGTCCAAGCACGGCATTTTTGCGGCACACACACACACACACACTTACCACTGTTGATTTTTCCTAATGACACTGATGCGCTTTGCAGCTGACCAAGAATAATACGCGCAAGTGTACCCCATTTATCTAGCCAAAATTTACGTCTACATTTACGTTAACAAAATATGTATATTTCTGGAAATAGTTATACTTATTTATGTACATGCATATGCACTTTTGTATACGTATGTACATATGTATGCACGTGTACGTGTATGTATACATTTTTAGTTAAAGTGCGGCCATGAAAGAGTTTCAAAATTTATGGGTAAAAGCACCCCTTTTCAAAGGCTGACTGTGAAAACCAAAACAGAAAACCATAACAAAATCAATAGCAATAGCAACAGCAACAGCAATACAAATCAAAGTCGATAGCACTTGTTGCCAAACGCAGCAGCCAACAAGTGGAAACCGTCGCAACAAAGTAGAAATGGAACGTCTAAACCATAACCGCAGCGACAACTATGGTGGCCACAACACTAAGTGCTTGCCAGCATGCCTTACTTGGCTGCAGCTAACAGACCCTCGGCGCAGCTGCTCCAACTTTTAGTTGCTTTCGAGCTATACAAGACGACGGTTGTCTTATGTTTGAGTCTGCACATTCCGTCCAACAACAACAGACGCGCAACAAAGAGCAACATTATTAGCAAAAAGAGCTACATACTTATTGTACGTGTATGTATGTATAAAAGCGGAGAGTCAACATAAAAAGTGAAAGAGCAGCGCGTCGTGGTCGCCTTCGTCGTCGTCGTCGTTAGTCAGTTCAATTTCGTTTGTTTCGCTCTTAATACGAAGCCGAGCTTGGCTGCTGCTACGTCGGGGCTTGCAGTTTTAGTTGCTTACGACAGCACAAAGCAAACGGAACGCGGTTGCGCATACGCGTGTGGCGTCGTGTGGTTAGCGTCTTTTGTTATTGTTATCTTTTTACTTCTGGTGGTACTCTTCTTTATATATTTGTCTCACAAACAACAGAAATTTTATAACGGTACGCGCGCTCAGCTTGGAAAAAATTTACATATTATTTAAAATTTGAAAATTTTTTAAGGTTTTTTTCTCCCGATTCAGTCATCGCAATTTTTTTCTTTTTGTTTAAAGTGCTCTAAGGATAATTCCAATAAATAAAAAATTTATACTAAATAACCAGAAGCAACAACTTGTTGGGGCTGCTGCTGCACATTTTGCCTGCTTTTCCATGCTTCGTGTAACGGTGACATACTTAAACCAGCGCCGCTTCACCTGTGCCGCGGCAGCGACAGCGATAACTGCTTCTTGCTGCTTGCTTGGCTGGCTCGGTGATTAAGCTGCTGAGTCGCTGACCGCATTTGTCGCACTTCTTTTGTCTCCGACTCTCACCTGATTTAAATTCAATAATTATTTTTCGTGGCTTTTTAGTTCTAAACTCTTAATTATTATTATTTTATAAAGTTTATTACGTGCACGCAGAAGCACTCAACTGGTTATTTATATTTTTTGCTATTTTTTTGGCTAGTACAAACCGTGAAAAATAATAGCTAAGCGCTAAAAGTGTAAAACCACAAATAGTGTGGACAACAAATTGGAAATTTTAAGAAAACAACAACCAATAAACGTCCTCAAAAATCAGCACCACCAGCAACACCTACTTAAAGTAGAAATTAAGGAGGAGGAGCACAGTATGCAACGCACGCTGTTAGGCGGCCGCGAGTGGCGGCCGACGGCTCTGCTAATGCTAACGTTAGCTCTGCTGTCGTTCCGCAACGGCCGCACTTTGGCGCAGAATATAGGTGAGTGTGTCAAGCGAACTTAAAAATTTAACAGCAGTAACCAACGACGAAAAATGCCAACGAACAACAGAACATAAGCAATAACAACAACAATAAACCAATGTTCACCATGCACTCAAACACAATGTTGTTGTTATTGTTGCGGCTTCTCGCTCATCACGCAATGCGACGCCATTTACTTTTGCATTACTATTTTTTTACGTATCTGTTTCATTTGTTAGAACCATAAATAAAATCGGCTGATTTAGCTTTGATTCCAAAACTATGTTTCCCAACTATTTCAACATGTACTTAAACAAAATCGAACTACATGCATAGGTTTCGTTCATGAAGATATTGACAAGTTTACTGTTTACCAAATGTTGCACAGTTGAAATCACTACTGAGTCACGATTTGTCACTCTAAGCCCAAAGTATAAAATTATATTCTACCTTAGTGCTAATGTATATACGTATAACAAAATAAACAAGGCTTGACAGAGCCCACAAGGTATATATTTTCTGAACAGTATAAAAAGCGTAATCGATGTAGCCATGTTTGTCTGTCAATTAAATTCAAAATGTTAAACCTTGTTTTGAAGTGGGTATAGGTTCTTTAAAAGTTTGGCCGCACAAAGCTACCATTCCACTCTTTTTGGGTTTCCGGTTGTGCGGCATGCTAACCAGTGGTTGCAAGCATGAACCCGAAACGAAAATTAGTTCGTTTTGGCCGCATTTTCGTCCAAATTATTCCCACGTTATAAACCCAAGTCGGGTCGTGGAAAGTCGAGTCAAGTGCGTCCCAGTCTCGGCGATTGTTTGTCAACTTTTGTCTCCAATGTTGATGTTAATGTCACGCTTGTTTCTGCCAACCAACTACCACTGTTCTTTATCGGCTCTCGACATGGGCGATACCAAAGGGGCGTGGCAACGTTTTAGACTGTAGTGAGTGTGCAGGAAGCGGATGTTTGTTTGGGTCAGCAGTAGAAACAAAAATTCTGCTCACATCAGTTGCCAACTCACTTCACACTTGCGGCACGAAGTGTGAGAAATCAAAAAACTTAGGAAACGAACTTGGGCGTGCTCATTCCATGTATTGCCACATGGAAGTGCCGAGAAGGGAAGAGATGACTTCACCATAAGCTCTTTGCCACGTGTCCGCTCATATTACCGCACACATCACGTAGTATGCAGCGTGAACCAGTCGATGCTCCACCACAACAACTACTCGTTCAGCAACAATAAAAGCTCTTTCAGTTTGGATTTCTATGAATGTATGGATGGTAGTCAGCCAGCCATTAAGCTACACCTGCCAGTTATACTCTTCGCCCGAATTCGGGAAAAAACTGCTTGGTAGAAACTAAAATGCATCAGTCCCAAAAACCAGCTGGGCACGGAAATAGTTAGTTCGTCATTGCACTCGCAAATTTAGATCATTAATTAACAATACTGTCGATAATTTCAAAACAAAATAAACTAAATTCTGACATTTATTTAGTGTTAGATTGAGGTTTATTTGTATACTATAATGTAATTATTTTAATCAATACTTTATTTATAAAACAAGTGGAGAACTCCAAAATGCAAGTTTTTTGCGTATTCACATAAGACAACTTGGACCAAAATTTGGTGCCCGTAGGTCAGACAGACAGGCATACATATATCGACTCGTCTTGCTCAACTCGCGCAAACCTAATATATAGTACTATTGTATATTTCATGTACAGAGTATAATTAATACCTGGATTAGATACAGGGTATATAAAATATATAAGAGAAACTCACGCGACTTTAGCAGAAATCTCATTTTTAGCCTATTTATGCCCCGTACCCGTAGGGTTCAAAGGGTAAATTATGTTTGTGCAAAGTAGTACGTAACAGGCAGAAGGAAGTATCACTGACCCCATAAATAAAATTTGCCTAGGGGCTAGGAGCTAATGTGCGCTCTGAAGTTTCCAGCGTTCATCCAGACGGAGGGACGGCCGAACGAACATGTCTAGATTGATTTCTCTTGTCGTGCTGATTAGAAATATATGAATATATATATATAAAACCCCCGGAAATTTAGTAAACATTTATGACAGAAAATCTATTTCGTGAATAGTAACGGCATGATGGTAACGGCATTTTTTGGCACATACCCATTTTTAGTTCACAAGAACCATACTTTAAATAGACATTGTATGTTTGTTTTTGTTGGTCTCACCATTCCGCATCGCAAACGAAATCTGCAAGGCTACTTTTTAGTCTTTTCTAGTGTTTATTACTATGCTGTTGTTTTGATTTACTTGTCGTCGTTGCCATGTACATGTAAATAAAAATAATATTACGAACTAAGTACCGCAAAGGGCAAGAATTTATATTATACGTCGCTTGGCAATATCATCGCAGGCCTGGAGTTTGCTTACAAACATGAAACAACTCTTGAATGCCCTGTACCCCCCACTCCTACAAAAAAAAAAACAAACACAAAAATATAAAATTTCAAAATTAATATTTGTTAAAACAAAATAAATTAAATGAGATTAATAGAATAAAAAAGAGTAGTACTATGGTAGTATGGCTATAACTTCCTTTTCCATTGATTAATGGAACTTTGGCATTTGAGTAAATAATTTCGAGAGTTAAGCAATATCAGAAGGAGTAGGGGATCTGCCACGCCCCTTTCTGTGAGTTACATTTAAAAAAAGTCACCAAAAAAAAGAAGAGATAATACTACAGTACAGGAATCTATGCCGTTTTCGATATCCATACAGACAGACGAACATGTCTAGACCGATATCTTTCCTCATGCTTATTAATAATAGATACACTTTATTGGGCCGAAAATGCTTCCTTCTTCCTGTTACATAATCGTACCTGGCACAAACCTAATATACTTTTTTTATCCTACAAGTATAGGTAAATCCTAAAAATCTTGTAGCATTTTATTCGCCGACATCAGAAAAAAATTTTTATTTGTGATTAGCCTTAGTGCGTCTTAAGGTCCACAATGCCTTGTATGTAGTGAAAGAGTCTTGGCTTATCAATTAATATATACCGTTAGCACAAAAACAACAAAAAAAGCCACACACGCAATGATCGCATTTTCGGGTCAGAAAGAGAATGTGTGTTAGAAGATTTACTTAAACTTTGAAGCTTAAGAAAGAGCAGCTACATAAACTAATACCGCCTGATTGCCTCTTAAAAATCATTTCCAGTCACTGAGCACAACATTTATCAAAATTATTTGTGCGGCGCATCGTAAAAAAAACTACAAAATTGGTGAGGAAATTAAAATAAAATTTACGGCTAACTGAAAAGTTTCACATTTACACAGGCACAAGAAAAATGGAAGAACAAAAAGCCCAAAATTAAATTAAAATGCTCGTATATAATACTTGTGTATACTCGTATGTATACTCGTATTGTTGCAATAGCAATATCAAAAACAGCAACATTTTTACCAAATGGGAAAGTTTCTCCACATTTTTTTTATATTTGATTTCATTTGAGTTGTTGTTGCTCAACACTTCGAATTGACAATATAAAAAGTAAAAGTGCACACACTCACACACATACTACCAGATGACAACAAACAATGGTATTGTTGTTATTGTGTTGTGAAAATCACTTCATGTTTGGTTTGAAGCACAAAAGTCGCACAAAAAGCCGCAAGCGCGCAAATAATCACAAAACGAGGCATAAGTGCATACATATAATTCAGCCACACTTCTTTGTATATATGTATGAAAGTATATACTATATATGCATACACATTGAGGTATGTGTGTACTGTGTAAGTAAGATCTGCACAAGATGTACTCTCATTACGATGATGGGGCTAATTGGATGTTGAAAAATGCGCTTAATATTGTACATACGAGTACGTACGAATATAGGTGTACTTGTATGTATATACATAGGTATTGGTACCTTTTGACTGTACCTATGTATGTTGTATGGACATATTGCGGTGGTTGCGGTCTCTTGGCAACATTGCGGAAGCGCAGACCAAATAATTGCAATATGAAAAAGCTACGAAAAGATATGTTACCCATAAGATATCTACATATATGAGCACTATATGAGTATCTATACTTGCAATGAAGTTATTACTTTTGTGTAACACACAATCATGCACATACACTCACGCAGAATAGGACGCCTTGCTTCAAATATGAGCGATAGGGTGGAGGCTTTGTTTTATGAGCGAACCCACCGAAGCAGTCCAAAAGTCTAAGCAATTTGAAAACGAGGCAACAGATGAAGGAGGTGGGGAAAATAGCAACTGAAATGCGCACGCATGCGTATGCCAAGGAAAACAAAGATTACTGCGGCTGCTGCGGTTACACATTTTATATAAACAACTAGGAAGTAGGAAGCGAAAAGAGCTTGAACTATAGGTAATGCTGAATCTAAGCCTATGATTACCGGATCCATAAATTTTCAATATTAAGCCGCAACTAATTACTTACGAACGATGGGGATGAAAAATATATGGTAATTTGGATGGAGAAAACCATGTGCTGCAATTTCTTACGGGAGGCTGTGCTTCTCTGCACGGGTCTCTTTCTGAATTCACACCCTTTTTTGTGGCGAAAAAATAGCTCAGTAGTATGTTTTAAACTAGAGTTTTGGTTTGATTGTTAAATTGGCGTGCATTGCTGGAGACGAAACGATTTTCAAAAAACATTAAATATCAACAAATAAATATAATGTAAAAAAATTTTATTAATAATAGACTATTTTTTCATTTTTTTCATATATATATATATATCTATATCGACATGAAAAAGTAGTCTATTAATGTCGTAATATGTACGTATAATATTCAGGATCTTTTATGCTTTTGTTGGCTGTTACATACATGCATACATAGATTCCCAATAGATCTTAATATACGAGATATCAATAACATTTAATGTAACAAAATATCAAGGGAACTCTACCTTTTCCGATCTTTGTAACTCATGTGTTTATAGAAACGAAAGCCTTGCCTGCCTTTAAGGACTGTGTAATATTATAGTATATTTATTAGT